AGTCAGAACCGACTCCACAGCATAACACCATCACCACCAACACACTGGAGAGCAAGTTTCAGTGTCTCTTATGACATCCATTTTGATCTTTTGCTTCATTCTTTTCTTCTCAATGAATTTTTGCCTTTTTCCTGTGATGTTCTTGATGTCATCCCACAACTCTTTTGGTCTTCAGTCTTTAATGTTTAATGTATCAAATCTGTTCATCAGATGATCTTTATATCAGGTTGGATATATTCAAGGCCATATTTTGACTCTTGTGGACTTGTTTTCATTTTCTTCAGCTTCAGTTTGAATCGCATATGAGCAATTGATAGTCTGTTTCACAATCTGCCCCTGGCCTTGTTTTCAGTGCTTATATTGAGCTTTTCCATTGTCTCTTGTCACAGATGTAGTCAGTTTGATTTCTGTATATTCCGTCTGGTGAGATCCATGTGTATAATCGTCTATATGCTGTCTAAAGAAGGTATTTGAAATGAACAAACCATTGATTTTGCAAAGCTCTGTCATGCAATCTCCAACATCATTTCTAGCACCAAGGACATATTTACCAACTACTGATCCTTCCTCTTTGTTCCCAACATTTGCATTCCAATCACCAGTAATGCTCAGTACATTTTGATTGCATGTTTGATCAACTGGACTAGGTAGATCTTAATCCAATATGATTAATATCTTTATAAAAGAGGGGGAGAAACATACTGAAAGATGCACAGATGGAAGATGACCGTGTGAAGACAAAATGCAAAAGTGTAGTTACTTTGCAGATACAGGCCAAGGAACACCAAGGATCACTGGCTAACATCAGAAGTTAGAAGAGAGCAAGGGAACAAATTCTCCTTCACAGATTCCAGAAGGAGTCAACATGGCAGACACTGTGATTTTGGACTTACAGATTCCAAATCGGTGAGACAATAATTTTTTACCATTTTTAAGCCACTCAGTTTGTGATACTTTGTTATGGTTGTTGTTGTTGTTGTTATGTGCCGTGCAGTCGGTTCCGACTCATAGCGACCCTGTAAAAGTTTCTGAGGCTGTAAATCTTTATGGGAGCAGAAAGCCTCATCTTTCTCACATGGAACAGCTGGTAGTTTCAAGCTGCTGACCTTGAGATTAGCAGCCCAATTCGTAACCACTATGCTACCAGAGCTCCTTTAGTTATTATTGTTGTTAAGTGCCGTCGAGTCGTTTCCAACCTATAACGACCCTGTATAGGGTTTCCAAGGAGCAGTGATGAGCTTTAACCTCTGACCTTGCAGTTCAAATGGCTTTGCAGTCTGGCGCATTTACCCACAATGCCACACCAGGACTCCTTAGTGATGGTAGCCCTAGTAAATAATATGAGGGGAAATAGCAGTTATCACCAGATGGAGGTTTGCAGACTATGGGTTTCCTAGCGTTGTGTGATTTAAAGAAAAAAAAAGAGTAATAAGGCAGGCAAACTAAAATAAACATTTAAAAATACTGCTATCAAGATGTTTGGGTATTATTTGGATCAAGTTCAGAATCTGGTCATTTAACATCATGTAGCATTGCTGTACTGGGTCGCTGGGTGCTCACCAGCTCCCTCTCTTTCTGTTGCAATCACCTAGTTGGGTGGATTGTGATCAAAACTAGCAATGAAACTCATGAATTCAAAGCTTTGAAGAAACATGCCTATCACCAAGTTTCTGAATTTGTGAAGAAGTAAATTTTTACCTAGCTTAAATATAGGCCATAAGACCTTTATTTTTGTTTTGGGACTTAAACAATAACAATATTAAAGTACTTTGAGCTCTCTAGAAATTTTCTACAACAAATTTATATGAGACAGATTGTATTGTATAATAAACTGTGTCCAAGAAAATTATAAAATTTATCAGTTCAACACATGATTTAAGTGTCATCAATAAAGGAAGAATTGAACTGTTCAAAGAATAAACTTAATATGAATCAATATACTGTGAATTACAGAACTGTTGTCAGAAAACAGTGTATCAATTAATCTGTTTCATGACACTTACTATAGTTAAATGAGAAAACCTGAACATGCATTAATATATTTTCCATGCTTACCTGGGTACTATAGTTAACAGATATCATTGGTGTTGGCAGAGATTCTCTGGCCACCTGCAAACTGATGAAAGTGGACTTCTTATGAGCCACTGCAAGCCGAGAACCCACAGAAAAATATACGAGGCTCTGAGGTTCATCATCCTGTAAGAATTTAATCTGAGCAAATCTGGCACTGTTATTTATTGCTGCTCCAGTTGTTACTTCATAGATTTCCACAAAAAAATACATTTCAGTTTGAGGTATCTAACAATGAGAAAAGGGAAGGAAGAATGAAAAAGGACTATCATGAATATATTTCTATGATTTGGTAATACTGATATTAATAAATCATCACTCATATATATAATTATAGAAATAAATACACATTATAAACACATAAATTAAAATTATAAACTTAAATCTTTATGTTAGATTACCATGGGATTTATGTTTTCATTCTCTCCCGAAGAAGCACATTAATTTCTCTGGGTAAGAGTCTTACTAGAAAATCAACATCAGAGACAGCCTATATGAACAAAGATAAGTAAAATATAGGATGTTCATATAAAGAAATACTAGTTAGTAGTTAAAAAGGAATGAACTAGTTCAATATTTCCGAACATAAGTGAGTTTCAAAAACATGATGTGAATGAGACAATCAAGTTGCATACTGCCATGGACAGTATGAAACCATAAATGTAGTTAGAAATGCCATATATTGTTAATTAACATATATATATATATTTTTTTAAAACATCATGATAGCAGGCTCATGGGTAGAGGGTTTGGAATGGGGTCAGAGAGGGTTGGCATGGTGGAGAAACATATTGTTAGTTGGAGGGGACAGGGGAGAAGCTTCAATTTTGTTAAGTATCATTTTATTTCTTATATTTTAATGGGTGTAGAATAAATATTACAAAAGTCTGATGATGATAGATAATCTTATGTATTTTTCTAGATTTCTCAAAATTAAGTACCAAATAAATGTAAATCTAATCTCTGATTATAGTTTGCTCATGTATTGCTTTGGTTCCTTCACCACAATCTTAATAATATTTTTCCCTAAAGCCTGAATTCAATATTAAAACATATTGTTAATCACTGGTTTTTATTAATAATTTATTCATATACAAAAATCCAAAAGGGTCTGCAGTATTGTTAGTCTCCTGGCATAATCCAAAGAAGCTAAATTGATGCATTTTTCAACAGTCTCTTTCATACCCTAATTTTTTTAAAAATGCATCATCATCATCTCTATCAGCAAAAACCTTATCCATCATTTGTTTTGTGATTATTTTAATGATGCTGTTGTTTTTACATCCTGAGTCATGGCAACCCTGTATAGGATTTTCAAGGAGCAGCTGGTGGGTTGAACTGCCCACCTTGTGGTTCAAACTGACCTTGCAGTCCAGGGAATTATCCTGTAGCACCACACCAGGACTGCATTTTAATGATAATCATTATTAAACAATATAACAAATCCTTTAGTATTACTGTGGTACAATGAATTTACTTATATTTACAGTCTTTGTAACTCCCACCAAATATTTGGGTGGGACCAAAAAATAGAGTGTGCAGGACTCTAAATCAGGGATTGGTTAGTTTTGCCATCCCACCAGGCTTAAAATAAGCCATCTCAGAAGCAGAAACAGATGATCCCAGGGCCATCAAGAAAGATGAGCCACAAACAGAGTGTGAGATCCCTGAGCAGAGAAGTAATGGCAGAGGCAGTGGCAAAGAGAGGCAGAGCAGCAAGTTTCCTGGCCCATGAACTAAATAAAGCTGAGTGCCATCAGGCAAGGGGCTAGTTTGCAGAATCAAATGCCCATTGGGCATTTATCAGTAGCACTAAAGGAGCTTGAAACACTTACCTGAAGAGTTAGAGGCCAAGTGGGTGGCTGTGGACCAGAAAGAGGTGTGCCTATAGCGTGACTGAAAAGATATGCTTCTCACCAGAGAACTGTGGTATCCTGAGTTGCTTCTGATCCTGAATTATACCATTAACTTCCCTTGTTGTTGCTATTGCTGTTGATAAGTACTGTTGAGGCAGTTCCAACTCATAGAGATCCTGTGTAGGGTTTTCAAGGAGCAGCTGGTGGGTTTGAACTATGGACCTTGAGGTTTGCAGTCCAGTGCTGACTATACAGCACCACACCAGGAGTCCATTAACCTCACTAATAAACCCTATCATCATGTAACAGATTATTGAATTGTAACAGATTATTCATTGTAACAGATTATTGAATCCAGCAGAGATGTGGAGTGTCATGGAGGAATGGTTGGTGTCAGAATAAAATAAAGAAGGGTGGAGGGTAGGGTCATGTCTGACCTCCTCTTCATAGGAATTGGCCTGGGGCTGATGTGGAATTTGATTCTCCTTTCCTCATGTGAAGCCAGAGAATGTCAAACACTGTCTCTGCAGCATTCTTAGAATTATTCAAGAATAAGTTTTGTCTTAATCACATGGTAAATAAACTTTAATCTCCTCCTGTTGTCTAAAGAAATGTGATTAGCATTCGTATAGCACAAATCATTCGATCAATTGTCAGTAAATATTGAAATGTGAGGATAACTATAATGACGTACTGCATTAAGCAAATCTGCTGCACAAGACCTTTTTAAAGTGTTGAAGAGCAAAGATGTCAGCTTAAGGACTAAGGTGCACCTGACCCAAGCCATGGTATTTTCAATAACCTCATATGCATGCGAAAGCTGGACAGTGAATAAGGTAGATCGTAGAAGAATTGATGTTTTTGAGTTATGGTGTTGGAGGAGAATATTGAAAGTGCCATGGGCTGCCAAAAGAACCAATAGATCTGTTTTGGAAGAAGTGCAGCCAGAGTGCTCCTTAGAGGCCAAGATGACCAAACTTCATCTCTCATACTTTGGACACACTGTCAGGAGGGAGCAGTCATTGGAGAAGGATATCATGCTTGGTAAGGTGGAGGATCAGAGGAAAAGAGGAAGACCCCCAATGAAATGTCTTGGCCAGGTGGCAGCATCAATGGACTCAAGCGTGGCAACAATAATGAGGTTGGCCCAGGATCGGGCAGTGTTTCATTCTTCTGTGCATAAGGTCACTATAGGTTGGTACCAACTCGATGGCACCTAAGAACTTAACAACAACAGCAATAATGTTCTCACTTTTGAGAAGCCAAATTTAGCAAATACAATAAACTAAAATCTAAGAGCTATTGTTCCTTAATGGCTAAGTGAACTTGAATTTACAGAGTTTCTTTTAACAATGGATTTTAGTACAATACGGTTCCAACAGAAAATCTTTTCATTCTTTATTTCCCAGTAAAGTATTCCTTCTCATTGTGATGATGATTAGAACATTACTTACAATCACTTACAATAAAAAGAATATGTTATAATCTCAGCAAAGAACTACCTAAAAATGAACAGCATACAGATGATGTCAACACATAATTAGACTAGAGACAAAAGGAATCTTCCAATCTTACAGAGAAATACTCTATTCAAGCAATACGTCTGAAGTATATTGGGAAACCAAGACTCACTAAGCTAATCTGAACCTCTCTAGACTGTTAAGACTGATTGGAAACCTCATGAGAACCCATTTCATGTTTAACTGCCAGCTGTCACTTCTCTAGTTAGGTCAGAAGCTCTCCAAGATGACAGCATTAAAGTACAACTTGACAATATTTCAATATGGTTAGCTATTTTATCTTGTTGCTGTTGTCAACGGGGAATTTCCACTCTGTGAAAACAATTTTTATTGCTAAATACAAAGAGTCTCACTCTAAAAGAATCAAATTTGACTAAAACTAATAAAGGCATTTATCCAAATAGTCATATAGGAATGAATTGACCTTGATGTCAAAGACTTTTTTTACAATTATAAGGTTAAGTTCTATTTTATGAAATGGATATTTTAAATCTAGTGAGATCTGTTCAATATTCTAATTTACCAAAAATCCTATTCCAAATGAAAATCAGGATGGTTATGGAACATAAATTATTACTACAAAGTAAAATTGCTTTCAAATATTTTTAAAGCAGTATTATGGGACCTTCCTTGGTGACGACATGACTAATTGAGTACCCAAACTAAAGTTATTAGTTGGATTTGAGTTTATAATAAAACTTAAGGAAAGAAGTTACGTTAATGCAAAAAATGTAGTTATTATGCAAAGTAAGTGTGAACATAAAAGGGTGTATTCAATATCTTATTACCATTAACATGTAGTAAAGTTAACATATCTTTTATTAAGCATGTGTTCATTTTTAGGCAAGGGCAAACATTTTTGTCTTTCTGTGTTGAGTGGTAAGTAATTAATACAAAGAATTGTTAATGAGACAAATATTCTTGGGAAAAGAAAGAAAAAGAATAAATGATTAATACCTATGTAATACATATAATTGAAGTAGAAAGCAAGTCCAGCAGAGAAAGAGTGCTGGTTCTCCCACACAAACTAAAAGCCAGTTCAATTGTCTATCTGTTGCAATGTGATGGAACAGATGGATGAGAGAGGTACACTAAGGGCACAGACGGGATATTGTGGGAGATGAAGCTCTAGTTTGCCCTTTCAAATATAAGAAGATGTGGCGCTGTGGGTTAATGTGCCAGACTGCAAAGCCGTTTGAACTGCAAGGTCGGTGGTTCAAGCTCACCAGTTGCTCCTTGGAAACCCTATACAGGGTCGCTATGGGTCGGGATCGACTCGACGGCACTTAACAACAACAACAACAATAAAGGGGGCGTATTGTATTCCCAATGACCTTAATAGGCCAGCCCAACGTCCAATAATGATAGGACAGTGAGTAAACTAAAACTAGCACTGCAAAATTTAAAGTACAAATTATTCTAGGGAAAACATATGGTATCAAAGCTAAAAAATCATATTGATCTAACAAGTGAAGTTCAGTCATAAAATGCATTCTAACTAGATAACCAGCAGTTCTTTAAAACAGCTTGGGAGAAGAAGCAGAACCCTTAATCCCAGCAAAGAATGAAGTGCTGTTAACTAGGGCATATAATCCCAAGTGATCTAAGTACTTTGTTTTTATGTGCTTATTTGGAGGAGATGAGGGGAAGGGGGGGAAACTAGAAAAAGCATTCCAATTCCAGGAAGGTAAGAAAACATGTGTATTTCTATAACCTTAGGAAAAGATTAATGTAACCACTACAGTAAACTCTGAAGGTGAAAGAACAAGTACAGAAATAATTAAAAATAATGATTAAACCTATAAGGTTGCTGTTTTACAATAGGCTTGAGTATAGTCACATGCTTGAAATAATTGTATTTGTATATGTGTTATTATTTGAAGTGCTCAGCATGTACAAAGAACAACTGATACTTTTTTTGTATATTCATGATATTGTAGTCAGTGTTCATATTAAATATTTGAGTTTAATAATTTAAGCTACAGACAAAAAACATAATGCCCCCTGGGCATTAAAATAATAATAAGTCATTTATTTAAATAAATAAATAAGGTCACACTGGATTACTAACCAGCTTAATGCTCTGTTAGGATATCAGTAATCAGTCCCATTTGAATAGTACAGATGCCATGGAGAGAAGGGGGAATATTTTTCTCCTGGGTGCTATATTCGATGTGTACCAATAGAGATTTATACAAGGCCTACCATGAATTTTCTCTGTGCCTTTTTGGAGATCAGAATTTGAACTTCCATATATGGTTTCCGAGGCTTTTAAATCTTCACAGGAGCAGAAAAACTCATCTTTCTCCCATGGAATGGTTGATGGGCTCGAACCGCAGACCTTGTGGTTTGCAGTCCAATACTTATAGTATGGAGCTACCATACTTCCTATATATAAGTAGGCAATGTAAAAATTTTGTAATTTATGGATATTAAAGAGGCAAAAATCTATGCACTCCAGCAATCAAAGATAAACTAATCTGACTGAAGATGACTCTAAGAATCATTCATACAATGAACATCTGGATCATGCAGAATCTGGGAAATAACAAGAAACAAAACTAGGAGAAGACTGGCAGGTGTATTTTAAGCTCTATAATGCAGTAAATTCTTAGTCCGAGGCCTATTGTCCAGAAAAGAAATTATAGCAAGACAAGATACAAACAATCTCCACATAAACAGCATGTGAGTTTCAGTGAATTAGTTGTAAAAGGACTAATTTAAAGGAATCTAATTGAATATAATTAGAAGTTGACAATATTGTATGTTATCGTTTTTTACCTTCTCTGGTTTGAGCTCAATGGTGATGAAGCATTTTGTTTGACCCTTTACACAGGCTGTAGTCCCTGATATAGATAGAAGTTCATCAATCAGATTTACACCATTTTTCTGGAGCACTGAAGCACTTTTATTAAATGAGGCTCGCCAAAAGACCTTGACATCTTCAAAGGCCCTATATGCAAAGGAAACCCATAAAAATTCAGTAATATATTGTGTTTTCACTGTAACAAATTGTACTTCTTTTCAGAAAGATTAGCAAACAAGGAGGTATGCAAATAGGAAACACAGGGAGAAAGTGGAATAAGTGATGTTACATTAAGGTGATTACAATCAATAACATGAAAAACCTTGTATGAATTGTTGAATGTAAAACTGATAATCTGCTCAGTGAGCCTTCATCCAATTAACAATAAAAAGTTTTTTTTAAAAAAACTATAACACTTACCTTACCAATAATAATAATTCTTCTCATTACAGCTAAGCAAATTAAGGCATTTTTGTGGCATATTTTGACCTTACACTATTAGATAGTGAATGAGTACTTACTAAACTAATGTGTATGTAAAAGTGAATAATGTGTATTTCCTGCCTACACTGCATTAAACATTTTCAGAACAAATTTAGAGCCTTTGTTTTCTATGAAATGTTTGGCACCTCTTAACAAGAATTCTTCTAAAAGAAATCACCACTACTAAAAATGATTGCTATTGCAAAGGAAAAAAGGCAAAAGAGAACCTGTATTAGAATATTTAGGTCTAAAATGGAATGGTAATAACTATATGTGCTGGTATGACATGTTAGTACATGTATGTGATGAGCTATCAGAAGACAGGTAGAGGCACACCTCGGAGATATTGTGGGTTTGGTTTCAAAGCACTGCAATGAAATAGATATTGTAATAAAGCAAATCACATGAAATTTTTTTTGTTTCACTGTGTATATAAAATTTATATTTACACTATACTGTAGTCTATTAAGTATGCAATAGCATTATGAAAAAGTGTGAAATATTGTGAGAATTAACAAAATGTAACAGAAGCATGAGTGAGCACATGCTGTTGGAAAAACAATGCCAATAGACTTGCTTAACACATGACTGCCATAAACCATCAATTTGCAAAAAAAATTTTAAACACAATAGCTGTGAAGTGTAATAAAGCAAAATGCAATAAAGTGAGGGGTACCTGTACTATAAAATATTAAATTACAAACAAAATTTTGGTATTTCAAGCTCACAGTAAAATGGTTTTTACGTATGCGAACTATAGTAAATACAATGATATGATAATCTACATCACAATGCATCAGACATTTGTATGGTACTTTATGAAGTACAACATGCTTAAGATGACCCTAAGTCATTATCATAAATCAAGTGTGTCAAATCACAATTTAAGAACTAAAGTACTGGATCCCTAATATATGGAATTCTACTATACCTTCTTCTGGCAACTTTTCATACTGCCTCTATCACATTACGATTTCTACTTAGGAGCTGAGAGGACACAAAGAATGGTATACCATTGACATATATTGGACTGCTATATAGAAGGTCCTGGTGTGACGCTGTGGGTTAATGCGCTGGACTACAATGTTGATTTGAGCCCAAGAGAGGCAGCTCAAGCTCACCAGCTGCTCCTCAGAAACCCTATACAGGGTTGCTATTAGTCAGAACTGACTTGACAGCACTTAACAACAACAACATATACAAGGTTAGTGGTTCAAACCCAGCAGCCACTCCTTGGAAACCCGATACATGGTTACTAATACTCAGAAGCAACTTAATAGCATTTAACAACAACAACAAATATATATGTCCGGTGTGTGTACACATACCTGTTTGGCTGCCTTATGACAGTAAGATTCAGTCTTCTCTTATCAGCTTCTTCACCCAGTTTTAGTCCACCTTGGGACTCCTCATTGAATCCTAAAATGCCATTCTGAAGATCACTCCCTTAATGGAAATAATGGGGGGTTAGATTGGAAAAGTCCTGCTGTGGCACTGTAGGATAAGCAATGGACAATTAACCACAAGATTGGCTGTTTGAAACCACCTCTCACTCCTTGGAAATTCTATACAGGGTCACTGTGAGTTGCAACCCACTCAACAGCACTTAAAAATAGTAACATATTTAAGAAGGTAAAAATCTCCAAGGTTTCACTAACCCCTCCAGTTCAAATGGTGTAAAGGGAAGAAAAGATGGTGTAAAGGAAAAAAAAAAAAAATGGAGAGAGAAGCTACACATTTTAAAGATTTCTAATAAAAATAAACTAGTTGTGCTGTAGGATAAGCATAAGGTTCAAACCCAGAGCGAATCCTTGAATACCCTATACAGGGTTGTTATGAGTCAGAACCAACTTGATGGCACTTAACAAAAACAGCAAACACTGTAAGAAGGCCTCCAACAAGGGAAAAAAGTTTGCTTTCTGCTACTAACCAAAAGATTGGTGGTTGAAACCCACTCTGTTACAACCTCAGAAGAAAATCTTGATGATCTGCTTCCAAAAACATTACAGCCAAGGAAACCCTATGAAGCTTGATTTTATTCCTTAACATATATCATAGTCAATCTGATGGTGTTGGTTTTAACACCCTGAGACTAGAAGAAATAAAACATCAAATCCTACTCCCCACCCAATACACAGAGTCATTTTCTCTGATGACATATTATATTTGCTTACTTGACATTATGTACATGCTTCTGTCTTTATAGTCTGTATTTCCCCATAGAATATAAGTTCCACTAGAGCAGAAACTATGCTGTTCACTGCTTTACTCACAAATAGTGCTCAATTTATTGTAGGTATTTAGTAAATCTTTATTGAATAAATGAACCCCATATAGTTAAAATACCTATCTACAAGACAGTTGATCAAAAGACTGCTTAAGGAGGGAACAAATCCTCACAGCAAGAAACATTCACACATACCCTCACACACAGAGTGGACGGAGAAGGGCAGCTTGGACATTGGATACTCAAATAGGGAGGGGGGGACTACAAAGGCAAGAAGTGACTGGCTTACAAGCTTTCAAGAGGGAACCTGGTACTAGGGAGCATGGCAGAAGGCAGAATCTCCAGAAGGTACTATTCAATCTGTCTGGGTGGAGCTGATGAAAGGAGATACAGATGGGTAACTCATGATACTGTAGTGAATAATGCTTATCATTACGGATTATGAGGGTTGGAAATGCAAAGGTAGAAGTTTTGTAACAAGGAAGGGAGTGATTGATTCTCCAGGATAGGAGCGGAGGCCTCTGGGACCATCAACGGAGAAGAGCCAAGAGCGGGACCCTACCCAGAGAAACAGAGATGCCTGAGATAGAGACAGAGATGATGATGTGGAGTGATGAAGCGACTGGGGATTTTGGACCCAGAGAGGGAAAGGGACTGTGTGTTGAAAACTGGGGGGAGGAGGAGGAAGTATAGGGAGCGGGTTTCTGGGATATACCCTTTGGGTGGTTGAGGATGCATGGAGGGGATTGGAACCATGGCAGTGAGATGATATATGATGGAATGAATGTAAAACTAAAGTTCTCCCATGTAAACTATCATATAATTCACAATAAAGCATTAAAAAAAAAAAATCACACTCAAAAAAAAAAGACTGCTTAAGGTATACATTAGGTCATTTGTGCCAGAGAAATACAGTAGAACTATTAAGAAGCTCCTAAGTATCTTGAATCTCAACAACTCCTCTGAGGAACACTGGAGATTACAGACACCATGACCTAAAAAATGAATGAGTTACCCTAAAGGAATTACCCACAAAACTTACTCTTATCACTACCCTGATATGTGACTTCTGAAGTTCCCAGGGGAAAGAACTTCTGAAGCTAAGAGAGAGACCATCATACAACTGTTTCAATAGAGGACAGCTAGTCCTTGTGTCGTGCTGTAAGATAAACACTGGACCATAAGATTAGTTTGAACCATAGGTCAGCGGTTCAAAATCAACTACTGCTGCTTGGAAATCCTCCAAAGGATTACATAAGTCATAACTTGATGGCACATAACAAAAACTACAGCAGTCAACAGTCATGGATCTACTCTAAAGTTTGAGTCAATGTGGATGATGTTGTTGTTGTTATGTGCCGTGGAGTTGGTTCCTACTCATAGTGACCCTGTACAGGGTTTCCGAGGCTATAAAATCTTTATGGGAGCAGAAAGCCTCATCTTTCTCCTGCGGAACAGCTGGTAGTTTCAAACTGCTGACCCTGAGGTTCACAGCCCGATTCATAACCACTACGCTACCAGAGCTCCTTCAATGTGGATGGAACCAGTTAATTAGGGAAATGCATATGAAGAAGCACATTTATGCTAATGTCTCACATAGGTTTTGTCTTAACCAGGTAGCCTACTCTCATCCTCATCTATTAATCAATGTGAACACTTATTAGCACTGTATTAGAAACAGTGTCAACTCTTTCTTTTCGGCAGCAATTCAATTGTTTTCTAGTCATCATAAAGGAAATTTGGACTCTACAAGTAGATTCCACCACTCCTCTGTCAGTTCATTGTACTGAAGTAGTCTGCATATTTCTATGATGTTAGACCACCACTCGTCAGTCAGTTTGTCATACTGTTGTGGCTTGTATGCTGCTGTGATTCTGGAAGCTATGCCACAGGTATTTTAAATACCAGTAAGCTCACCCATAGTGGATAGGCTTCAGAAGAGCTTCTAGAAGAAGACAGACTAGAGACAATCTACTTCTGAATAATCACTGAAAATCTTATGAATAGCAGTGGAACATTGTCAGCACCATATGACTTAATGTTGAAACATGCTGAAGAGCATCAGAATATTGTCAGATATAGTGCTGGAATGACGAGACCTTTAGGTCGGAAGACACTAAAAATGTAACGGGGGAAGAGCTGCCTCCTCGAAGTAGAGTTGACTGTGATGTAGCGACTGGAGTAAACACCTCAGGACCTTCATTTGTTGATGGTGCACATCTCAAAATAAAGAGAAACAGCTGCAAACATTTTTTAATAGTCAGAACATGGAATGTATAAAGTATGAATCTAGGAAAATCGGAAACTGTCAAAAATGAAAAGGAATGCATAGACTTTGATATCCTAGGTATTAGTAAGCTGAAATTGACTGGTATTGGAGATTTTGAATCTGAGAATCGCATGGTTTACTATGCCTATAGTGACAAATTGAAAAGGAATGGTGTCGCATTAATCATCAAAAAGAACATATCAAGACCAGTCATGAAGTACAACACTGTCTGTGATAGGATAAGACCCATATGCCTACAAGGAAGACCAGTTAATATCACTATTATTCAAATTTAGGTACCAACCACTAAAGTTAGTGATGATGAACTTGAAGAATTCTACCAACCTCTTGAGTTTGGAATTGATCAAACATACCACCAAGATGTATTGATAATTACTGGTGGTTGGATTGCAAAGGTTGGAGTCAAAGAGGAAGGATCGGAGGTTGGAAAATATGGCCATGATGATAGAAATGATGCTGGAGATCACATGATAGAATTTTACAAGACCAATGATTTGTTCATTGCAAATATCTTTTTTAAACAACATAAAAGAGGACTGTACACATAGATCTTACCATATGGAATACACAGAAATTAAATTGACTACATCTATGGAAAGAAAAGGTAGATAAATTCCATATAATCAGCCAAAACATGGTCAGCAGCAGACTGTGGAACAGACCATCAATTGCTCATAAGCAAATTCAGGTTGAAGCTGAAGAAAATGAAAACAAGTCCATGAGAGCCAACATATGACCGTGACTGTATCCCACCTGAATTTAGAGATCATATGAAGAACAGATTTGATGCATTCAACACTAAAGACCAGAAGAGTTATGGGATGACATCAAGAACATCCTACAGGAAGAAAGCAACAGGTCATTAAAAAGAAAAGATAAAAGGAAAAAAACCAATAAGGATGTCAGAAGAGACTTGCTCTCCAGCATAGAGATGCCAAAGCAAATGGAAGAAATGAGGAGGTACAAGAGATGAACAGAAAATTTCAAAGATAAGCTCAAGAAGACAAAGTTAAACATCATAATGAAATGTGCAAAGACCTGGAGTTAGAAAACCAAAAGGGAAGAACAAGCTCACATTCCTAAAGCTGAGGGAACTGAAGAAAAAAATTAAATCTCAACTTGCAGTATTGGAGGATTCTATGAGAAAATTATAGAATGCTGCAGACAGCATCAAAAGAAAATGGAAGGGAAACACAGAGTCACTGTACCAAAAGGAAATGGTTGATGTTCAACCATTTCAAGAGGCAGCATGTGATCAAGAGCTAATGATCCTGAAGGAAGAATTCCAAGGTGTATTTTAGTCACTGACAAAGAACAAGGCACTGGGAATTGATGGAATATAAATTGAAATCATTCAAGGAAGTGAGGCGGCACTGGAGGCACTCACTCATCCATGCCAAGAAATTTGGAAGACAACTATATTTGGCCAACTGACTGGAAGAGATATGTATTTGTGCCCATTCTAAGGAGAGGTGACCCAACAAAATATAGAAATCATCAGGCAGTATCATTACTATCCCATGTGAGTAAAGTTTTACTCAAGGTAATACAGAAACAGCTGCAAGCACACATTGACAGAGAACTTCCAGAAGTTCAAGTAGGAATCAGAAGAGGATGTGGAATGAGGGATATCAGATGGGTCTTGACTGAAAGCCGAGAATACAAGAAAGATGTTTACCTGTACTTTATTTACTGTGCAAAGGCATTTGATTATGTGGGTCATGATAAGCTATGGACAACATTGCTAAGTATGAGTATTCCAGAACACTTACTTGTGCTCATGAGGAACCTGTACATAGGCCGAGAGGTAGTTATTCAAACAGAACAAGGGTACACCGAGTGGTTTAAAATTAGGAAAGGTGTGTGGAAGGGTTTTATTCATTCACCATATTGATTCAATCTGCATGCTGGGAAAATAATTCAAAAAGC